GGTCAGCCCCCAAATCTGTGTTCGCACTATTTAACTGTGTAAGAACATCCTCTTGCCTCACAGGATGTGGAGGAGAAAGATTCTAAAAGCCTAAAGCACCAAAGAGATTTCATTTGGCCAGAATATGGGAGTTAGTTTTCCCTATATCCAATATTTCCCTATCTTTAGGATTTCTAAAGCCTATATTGTGGTCAAGGCCTCCCCGCTGCATTTCAGCGCCTCCCCGTTTTCAGCCTGATCTTCCACCCACATCTTCAATCCAAACTTTGAATTGCCACAAGAGCAAACAGCTTCTGACAGCAAATAACATGCTCTAGAGTCGCTCCTGAGCCAGCCTGTTCTTCTTTGGGATCCAATCCCTGGGGAGCTGGCAGCACTGGAAAAGCAAACACACTTGGAGCTTCGCTCCACGCTCTCGCAGTCTGTCAGCTACACTCTGGTCTGGTGTGACGCGCTCATGTCAACATCCCCATCCTGCAGCACTGGGAAACATTGGGAAACAACACAAACACAGCCCTGGGAATGGGAATTACCTGCAGCACCAGCTGCTATGCTGCATTAACCAACTCAAAGCATCACTGCTCCTATTTTCTCCCGACTTCTAGAATTAGTTCACTCCAAACAATCTGCATCAGAAAGGGGAAAGGCCACAGTATATATTTTTAAAAATTGCAGTCGTGTGCACAGTCAGTCTCTGGGGACTTATTGCAGAAACCATTACTCTAAAGATCTCCAAACAAAGCTTATCTCTCAGCCTTCCAGCAACAGCATTTAAAGTGGAAAAATGCAAGCCTAGCAAAGCTTTTATTAGCAAATTAATCTGAGTTTGTTTATGTTGTAAAATACAAGAGAATTATTGGTTGCACTCTGGAGCAAGCACTTAAACAGGCAGTAATGAAATAAAACCCATGAAATGCACAGCAATTACAGAGGAGAATCAGGGATTCTTGGCAAATGCCCCCACTTGGGAATCAATGGACCCACTTCCAGTCCCTCCCTTCCCATTTTCTTTCTGACAAAGCTGCACCTTCTCCGCTTACAAAAGTTGATAAGGACCTAGTGCTCAACTGTAATTCTGGCCATGCATTAAAGAAATTCCTAAAAATAAGGAACAGAAATATTTCCAAACAGTTGAGTGAGTATTAAGTACCTCTACTTTACAGAACCTTCAAAAAAAGTATCTTGTTTCATTACATGGCCAGCTGGACTTTAACAAAATGCACAAAGAACCCGAGTTCTAAACTAAATCTAAACTAAAATCCCTTTAGTTTAGTACCCACAAGATTTAGGCTACATTGATATGGAACCTCTAAAAAGTTGCTCTTTGCCAACTTCCAATTTCCAACTCCTCCTCAAAGCAGAAATAACATGCCTAGAGTACTGCCACTATTTGTATTTTATTAGATACATTTCTAAGCAACTGATTTCCCCCCAGTAAGAGACTTTATTGTTTATTTTCTAGACAGAAGGGGCTCGAGGTCAGGAATTCATCCAGAAGAACATGTTCTCTGCCTGCAGCAGTTCCCATTAAGGTATGTTTGAAAAGCCTCTGTCAGCCACCCCAGCAGGACAGGGGTCAGTTTTCTGTTCAAACCGAGGTGCTGAAAGAAAATCATTGCACTTAAGTGCTCTGGTACCTCCACTAGACCTCTCAAATCCAGCCCAGCCTTTCAAAATTTCCAGGAAATCCATATTTAAAATGTTATCCTATCAGAGAAAGTTCAGGGTTCACTGTTTTCTAAGACACGCTCCCAAAGTGAAACACAACACACAGGGACAAATGGGAATCCAGCACAGCCCTCAAACAGGGAGGAGAACTAGAGCCAGGCAGATGATCTCCCCTGCTAAAGTTTAAGTGTTTCCAAATTGACCAAGTCTCTGCCTGAAGATTCCTGGCCCATCTCAGGCCATCTTAAAACACGAGAGCGGAAAAGCAACTTCTTGGCTGGCTTTACTTGGCTGCAGAAGCACATTTCAACAACTTGTGACAGCACCCCAAGTTCTCAGCTGGACTCAGTAACAAGTACTTTTTTACTGCTCAGGTGTGCGTACAAAAGTGTGGGTTCCCTGCAGGAAGACAGGGTACTTGGCACAGGGAAATGTGTTTTCCTTCCCTACCCTCCAAGCCTAAAAGGACCAGGTATTATTAAGCCTCAGAGCACACAGTACAATACCCCACATTTTCATAGGGATTTGAGTACCAGGGGTTCTGAGGGCTGGAAGATTTCATTCCAAAGCCAAATCCCTATAAATAAGGCAGCAGCAGTCTTTTTCTTTCTTCCTTGAAACAGAACTAGGGGATTATATTAAGTAAAGCAGGTTAAAAAATGTTATTTACCACTACTCTAATTGCAAAGTTAATTAGGCAGTCAGATTATGAGCTGGCGGCTTAACAAATGAGTCCACAAAGCTCAGCTCCTTAAATAAAGGAACATATGGATGTGTGCACTCACCTTAACCATGAACCAGGTTTACACAGGCTTCTTACCCAGACCCAAAGCCCACGGCCCAGAGGATAGATGTGTGCACCAAAAATTGATCAAAACCATTACAATGCCACTGATGAAAAGCTGCAATCCCTTATTCTCAATTTTCTGTGATCCCTCAAACTTGAAAAACAGAGCAAAACCCCTCACTCAGGAGAGCAGCAGCTGCTGTTGCTGAGTGCTACACTGAGCTTCAAAGGAACAAGGTATTTTATTTACTGCTAGAAATCAGATCAATTAAGTGCAGGTAGATATATAGATATAGATATAATATATATCAAGAGAATCAAGGAGGAGTCCTGCTGCCAGCTGGCCACATGGCTGCACAAAGGGAGGGCTTTGCAAAGACAACCAGGGATTGTCCTGACACCTGCCTGCTTCCCTTGGGCGTCCTCAGCCACAAAGAGGGAGCAGTGAGCAAGTTCTGTCCATTATTTTCAAGCTCAGCAGTGTTCAACACTGGGCTACTTCAAAGGGGCACGGCGGCGAGGTGGAAAAGCAGTGTACACTGCGAAGGACAGGCTGATTAAGTTCTGAAACAGCACCAGGATGAAAGACAGAGGAAGAAAAATGTTTTAATCCCATGCCTGCTTGCCCTGGATTTCAGAACCTGGCAGCCCCACAGCTGACAGGGGTTGGAGCACCCCCCTGTGTACAGCAGCACGTTCAACAGTACTTCAGCCCTTTTTTCTTTCCAGAAACCATGGAACCGTGCCAAAACCCACACTTTGCCCTTGAAAAAAATTCTTGCACCTCAAGGAATCCACCCTAGTAACTCGGCTTTGGGTGAAGAGTTTGGATTCCCCACTAAAACACCTCCACAGAACAAGCAGGTGGACTGGCAAGGTGCCAAGTTCCCTGGCAGACAGCAGCACTCCCCTCCAGCACCCTGGAAGAGGTGTTGGATCACAGTGACATCTCACTCCTCAATGGGACACAGACCAACTCCTCTCTCCTGCAGTATTTCAGGTTAATAAGCAGAGGGAAGTTAGGACCTCCTTTCTAAAACCTCAATTCTTTTATTACTACTGGCTTTGTATCATTTTCTTACCATTCCTTTGTTTTTAGCAAAGCCAGAACAGGAAGCAAACAGAAGAGGTGGTGACACAGTTAAGCCAAACAGAGTTCTAGATCACGTTACTTCAGTGATACGGTGCCATTCACAAAGAATCCTGCACGGGCTTTCTCAAGAGCGTGTTTCTCAGACAACACAGCAACAGGTTTTTCTGATTTCTCCTCCAGAAACCCTCCTCAGCCCTTCCACAGCCAACCTCATTCGACCTGAGACAGCTCGTTACATTTTTCTTTGATCATTAATCCCAAATTAAGAAGTGTGCAGTGTGTGCTCTCCCAGCTATATAAACAGAAAGGGATCCCAGCCAGGATATTTCAGCAATTTGGAGTTCTGTCACAACAGAACCCATTCAGGGAACTTGTACTTCACTCATTTCCCTCCTAAGTACCTGCAGTATTCCAACAACCCTCTTCTAGAGTCAGGGTTCACCTCAAATAATGCTGTAAGAAATCCACCTCCAAAATACACTTGCTAGAGGAACCTTATTCCCTTTTAACTGGCACTGGCAGATCTCAGGTTTGGTTTTGTAAGATAAAAAGGGTGCAAAACGAACATAAATAAATGGAGAACTGCAAATCTAACACAGCCAAGTTCCTGCACTGAACATTCCCTCAGAGCTGTACGGAGCACCAGCTCCCTCTACTGACACTCTCCCAGATAAAAATTCACTCCACCTTTGCACCGACTTTTTCCAACACCTTCAGCGGAAGCAAAATGACAATATGACATTCAGAGAAACCCGTAACACCCTTTAAAAATCTAGAAAGCATTTCCTACCTATGATGCAGACCTGGAAAGGGCTTTATCACATCAATTCTGACCTCCTTGCCTGTGGGTTTTGAATTTTTAAGACACCATTAGATGAGACGCATTTTTCTGCTTGCTTTGACTCGCAGTTTCACATATGTTTTTCTTTTTGGTACAAGAATATCCTGCCAGCATCCAGATGTAACTCTAACACTGATGTTCTGAGATTCATAACCAGACAGTGAAAACATGCCCACAGGTAAAGGGCAGCATTATTAGTACCATGATATCTGCACTTTTTCTCCAAAACTGCTGCTTTTCGTCAGAAACTCTATCTCAGCCCTACCTGTTGAGTTTCACTAAGCTATCACCACAATTCAAATAAATGCTTCCAAATCTGCATTAAAAATTCCAATCCCAATTTTTTGTTAGTTTACATCAAAATATTAACTTGGAATATTAAAAAACTTAAACAAGTATTTAATGAGCACTTTAACAAAAAAACCCCAAACAACCTCTTTACCTTTAGGACTTACAGTAAAAAAGAGGCAGGCTTATATGAGTCACGTTTTATTTAACACTCACCTGCACAGCTCCTTACAGTAATTCAGGAGACAAACCTGGAGTATTGGACTGCTGTAGTTGCAAAACAACCACCCTTGAAACAAAGCTTCCCAATGAGGACACATCTGTGCAGACCAGTACCCTCCCTATGGCCTTCAGTGCTTTATTTGGAAAATAAATACACAGCAAATAAGTACATCTCAGTAAAACAGCACTGCTTCACTCCTGAGACAGCTCTTCCTGCAGCTCAGGGATGTCATTTCTTAAAGCTGTACTTGGCAGCCAAGGCAGCCACAATGTCCCTGTAAGGAGTATCCGAGTCGGATTTGGTCCTTGGAATGCAGCAGAGCCGTCGGAAGGCGGGCGAGCGCAGCAGGAGGTTGTGGGAGAGCCCCACGAGGCTCGAGGACAGCCAGTACAGCGCCATGGACTGCAAGGAGACAAACAGAGCTCGCTCAGCGCCCTGGACTGAGGAGAACACCAGCTTTAGGCAGCTCTTCCCCAAGCACAGCCATGGGCTACCCCCAGTTACTGACAGGAATAACTCACCTAAACCACTCCTCCTCTCAACAACAACAATGGCTTCTGTGTCAAATGTAACTGTCTGTGCCTCTGAACTCTTCTGGGCAAAAGTGTCATCTACACTGAGGCTTGCAGTTCATAAATTAAGGCATGTTAAACTTGTTTCAACTTCTGTATTCCAGACTATAAACTGATGAGAAAACAACCAGACACTTTGTTTTTGCTAAGAATATTCTGCAGTAGAACACCTGGTAAAAATGAGAAGTGTTTGAAGAAAACTCTGAAACATGTCTCCATTTAAAACTAGCCTGGTTTCCTCTTTCACTTAACAAACTCTTGCCTATATGACTTTATACATAGAGTTTTCCTCTCGGTTTTGAGACCACACAAAGGACATTAACTTGCTCTGAACATCCTTCCAACTTTGCAAATTCTTCCCTCTTGGACAAAAATATTCCAGAGGCATGATGAATTTAAACACGCTTGTAGACAAAACATCTGATGTGTTTTTAGGCAAACAGCAGCAGAAATAGAAACCCGTGAGGCACTCGGGCTGCCCTTTAGGCACCACAACACACCAGTCATGGGTGAAGAGTCATGAAAGTCACATCAGTACTTACAGAGGGGACTGTGGCAGCCACAGGGATCATCGCCACGGACACCACGCGGAACAAATTCGTCACAAGCTTCTGGAACCTGGACACTTGCATTTTTTTTTGCGAAGAAAAGATCTGAAAGAGGAGACACTCACAGTTATAAACGGGTTCTTTTTGAAACGACCAAGCTGAGGGTTAACACCCAGAAAGCTCATTAGAACATCATTCTAAGAGAAATTTCAGTCAAAACTAAATTTTACCATGGCTCAAGTAAATCTGAGACGTGTCACATCACAGTTTGTCATCTCTGAACAAGACGCCGACACATTCAAATGCACAGAACAAAGAGGTTATTTTTCAGTTCTGCCCAGTGCATTTAAAGCAGTGATAATCTTATGTTTTAGAACTGGGTAATATTGTCTAAAAATTCCGTGAAAAGAATTATCCCTTTGCAATCACTGTGTTTATTCCACTAACGTACCTCCACTATCAGCAGATTCACCAGCCCCAGGGAAACGGGCAAAATCCACGTGGAATCAGGTGCCGTGAGGTCTGTAAACCACAGTGCTCCTCCTGATGAAAACTGCTCTTGAACTACAAGAACAATTTAAGGCAAGTACAGAATTGAGTAGGATTTGCTGCCTCAAGCGAGCCAGAACCGTCCCACGCATTACAATCCAACCACACAACTTTCTAGGTACATTTTAGCTACGGGATAAATGTTGTTAAAGCAGAAATCTGTGGTTCAACAGATTTTAACAGTCTGCTATCAATATAAGTAAAAACAGGTAGGAGATAAAAGCTGAGAGCCAGCTTAGCTCTCAACAGCCACTGAGAGGTAAACCCGCAGTAAAAACTACTTTGATCTCAACCACCACTTTACAAGTCAATGAGGAAAATAAGAATGCAGTAACCTACAGTGTCTATTTCATGTTTTTGAAATAATTATATATAATATACATATACTTATATATATAAATATAACAATTATATTTTTATTACTAACTGCATAACTAGCTACATTTTTGTTTAGAAGAACAAATTATAAACTCATCTCTAAAGAAAATATATATTTTTTTTTTATTTAAAAGCCATCACACATTCACCTTGTCTATAGTATTTCACAAGGAAGAAAAATAATACAGATTAATAGTGAGTGTGCCGTGGCATGGGTAATATTACTTGCTAAATTGGATTATCAGGCTATATTAAGTTTAAAACTAAGTTCAAACTATATTAAGTTTAAAAACTCAGTAGCTGACTTTTTATATCAGCTGATACACCCAGTTCAAGAGGTCGTGTTCTGTAACCAACAGAGGGTCTGTGAAAACAGTAAATGAGTAAAACATGACAATGAAAGAAGCCACCTGTGCACGTTAATCACCTTCTGAGCCCGCGGCACCGACGCTGCAGTTGCGCAGGGCCAGGGACACGCAGACCCACATGGGGATCTGCACCCACACCAGCAAGGTGGCTTTGAAGGGGTGGCAGTTGTCCCGAACGTACAGCTCTGTAACAATCCTCCGCAGGTTCTTCTTGAAGTGGAACCTTCGAGAGAGAAAAACAACAGCTCAGAGCTTTAAAACAGATAAAGGCTGAAAGGGAAAAGAGCAAATGAATCATAGGAGGGGAAAGGAAATCTAAGCTTTGGGCACAGTGGCAGAATCTTTGTGGGCTGTTCCCTCCTGCCACCCCTCGCTCTGGAATGGGTTTGTGAGCTGGGTACAATCCCCCTCGTACCTGGCCACCTTTTCAGACCAGCCCCGCTGCTTTCCTCGCACTGAAACCTCATAGCGAAGGCGCTCGGCGAGTCCTTTAATCTCAGGCTGCAAGTTTTCCAGCTAGCTAAAGAAAACGAGAAATGTTTGGGCAAAGTTGCAGGCAACAGCCACTTCCTCTTCCCTCCTCTGTTATTAATTATCCCTATGTAATTAAAAACCTGTACAGACATTAACCGTATTCATTGTCACTCTATACTATAACTTAACAACTGTACAGATGTTAAACATGTGAATTACCACTGTGTAATTTAATACCTGTACAGGTATTAAACATGCCTGTGAACGACAGGGCATCTTGTGAATGTCTCGGAGACAAGGCAAGTGAACACCTTTTATCTTTAAACAATATAACCATGTGAAGATAAGAGTGGCAAGTGTAACAGTGACAAGTATTTACAGTAACAATCCAAGATACTGCTACATGAAGCGAAGACAGAATTTTATTAGATTTTATACGTTTTTAAGAAGAAAATTGTTTCTATCCCAACTGAAATCAGAGCAATTCTTAACAAGCATCTTTTTGCCTTCATTCAGGACTTGTGACCAGCTACTTTACTTACAAAGACCCACCAACTTCAATGCCACCTCAATGGTAATCAACAAAAGTACTTAAAACCCTCCGAAAACCGGCGGAAGAATTGTTACGTTTATTCCTCGCCCCCCTCACCCTCTCCCTCACAGCCCCTCCCGACCCTCAGAGACCCCTCAGCCCACCCCTCATAGCTTCCTCTGCCCCTCTGAGCCCCCAAAAAGCAAAACTCCCCAAAATCACAAGACCCGCTGCAGTAAATGAATTGTTATTAAGAATTGTTTAAAAGACGCTTATCCCACGCCCCCTCGCTTCCCCCGCCTCAGCGCCCCGGACCTTGGCGAGCAGCCGCCCCTGCGTGCGCGGCCAGCGGCGGAGGGTGACGGCGGTGCGTCAGCCAGGGCGGCCCCCCGGCGGATTGGCGGCACCAACCAGTGGCAGCACCGGTGGCCCGCCTGCCAGCCGGCCGCCAGGCCCGCCCTCGGCCAGTGCACGGGCTCGGAGCTCGCCCCCGCCCACTCATACCAGCCGCCCGTCCCCTCCGGGCCGCCCGGCCCCGCTCCGCCGCGCCGCCGCCGCCGCCCACGGGGCCCGCGCGAGCCGCCACAGGCCAACGGCGACCCAAACACCCAGAGTTGTGCGCATGCGCGGCCCGCCCAAGGGCGGAGCGTCCAACGCCGCGGCCGCCATGGCGGGTAAGGGCAAAGGGAAGGGCAGCCAGCGCCGCTGTGCCGCCACCCTCACGGGAAAGAATGTCTGCCCCTCCTTCACTTCGTACCCATCACTCCTTGTACAATTCCCCAGGAGTCCCGCGCCGGCTTCCCTGCAGGCCCCTTCAGGTACTGGAAGGTGCTGCCACGTTCTCCAGGCTGAACAGCCCCAGCTTTCTCAGCCTGAAAACTATATTCATTAATGAGCAATTACTCATTCCACATCAGCGGTGTTCTCCTGCCCAGCCAGGTTCTGAACTGTGTCTCCTCACCTCTTGTGTATCAAGGAAAGGTCTAAATACCCCTTAAAACCACACACTCCATACCATGTTCTCCTCTCCATGTTCATCATAACCCTGGTTGTTCCCTTTTCTCAAATAAAGAGCACCTACCAGCTCCCAAAAGAGCATGTTCCTTGGTTTATTGGACAAATAAAAAGCATTATATTGTGTAAGAATTAAAAAAAAAATAAAAATCTATCTGAGAAAAAAAAAAAAAAGGTCCAATTCCCTCCACCCAGGATTTCCCACTGTCCAGCCACAGTGGTGGCATCAAGCCTGTGCTGCCCCAAACATGGATTGAGCTATCAGGTCAACAAATACTCTGGAATTCAGTCTTAATCAATACTGAGTACTGTTTCTCAGCAGGATTAACAATTGGTAACCTCAAACAGCACTAAAGCCTTAAGCAAATGATGCAGCAGAGAGCTGCTGGTCACACAGCAGAGGGGAAGGACGCAGTACCACCACAGTAAGGTGTGAGATGGAGTTGCGATCCTTTTTCTGAGCAGTTCTTCATTTCAGGATCCACGCTGTTCCCACCACATCTTCACAGGACGTACTTGCAGCTGAAAAAGGAGCTTGCTTTTATTTAGAGCACCACCTAAGGGCAGGTATATGGACACGGGTATGTACAAGGCTTGTGCCCACCTCAAATACCACAGGATGTAAAAGGCAAGTGGGGAATTTTTTCTGGCTTTCAAAGGAGCACCATAATAAAAACAAGTAGTGCTTCTTAAATCTGAGTTGTACATTTCCTTTAAACACTATGCACAGGAACTGCAGGGGGATCTTGACTGGATCAGTGCCACTGCTCACCCAGTCTGGCCTCAAAGGACCCCCCAGACTTTACCTCCTGGTACTGCTGTTCACACGTGACAGCTCCTGGCTGTAAGGGAATTCCCACCTGAACTTCTCCAAATAAACCTTCACAGGGCTTTTTCTGGAATAAACTTGCCTTTGGAGCTTTCAGCAGGGAAGCTCTCATTTCAAGCAGAGAATGTATGTATTCTCAAAAAAATCCAACACATATTTATTTGGGAAAAGCCCTCTGATAATGCCTAGGGTTTTTGTATTTTTATAACGTACTTAAATTACACAAGTAGAAAAGTTATGCTTATTAATAGTTTAATGTATGAAGGAAACATCCAGATTTCTGAATATGAAGGTACATATCTCACATTAATTTAAGTCTACATAAAGTAGAGCCTCTATAACTGACATATTGAAATTTACTTTCTGCTTAGCCATTTGTTATGTAAACAATTGTACATTTATTTGCCATTCTAAAACTTCAGGATCAAGTTTACATAATTTTGCTAAATTTCTGTGTTTGCTCAGAAGCAGTTTACAGTACTAAAACCAACCAGCCAAAGAACAGCTTCAACAGAAAGTTATGTCAGAAAAAAAAAAAAAGAGGAGGAAAGGAAAGAAGAAAGTCTAACTAAGTTGAAACATATGATGGTGGGGAATGGGTGGTCACAATGTTCACAGAAAAAGGTCAGTTAGTAAGTTCTTCTGCAAAAAGCCTACACACTTCAGTCAAGCACATCAGTAGAATGATCTGGGAGCACATAAACTGTTTCTGCCATTTGTGGTTTCCTCTGCAAAACAAGGAATCTCAAGGCCAGCACGTTGATCCCACTCAGCCCAGTTGGTTCATATGCACACTGTTCATGTGAGGTGTCCAAGTTCCAGTCCACACCTGCAAGAGAGACCTGTGTTAACCCTTTGCTTGGGGCTGCTCAGAGCAGGGCACAAGTCACAGGGACACTGCGGGGCCCAGGAGAACTAACAGGACTCTGTGCATGTGCCAAAGCACTTGCAAGGCCTGAATCCCTCCAGCTCCCAGAGCAAGAGACTCATCCTCCTTTTCGAGTTTAGATCTGATATCAATCAATAACTTGATTTCTGGCACCTTATCTCCCTCCAGCACCCTCAGCTCTGAGGAAAGCCAAGTCTAACCAAGTGAAGCTTTCTCTGGGGGACAAAGTTTCCTCATTAAATCAGAAACCACCTCACTGTGGTCAGGAGCCACTTCAGAGCAATACCTGAACTGTGGCCAAACCCCCTCTTCCACACACCTATGGTCTGCCAGAGCTGGGAGCTGTTCCCTGGAGCTTGGATCATTCCCAAGCAAATTAAGCCTAGAAACATCTTTATTTAGTAACAGTGTAACAGAGCTCACTGTCTAATTAAAAATAAACACAGGATACAATCTAACAAGAGCCACTGATGTTCCATTAGAGTATTAGTTGCTGAGTAGGAACAAGAGGTTTAGGGGAATTAAACGCGCTGCCTAAATTATATTTAGTGGACAAGCCAGGCAAGATCAGAGCAGCAAAGAGCTACTTACTCCCTTCCTATTAGCACTCCTAACACAGTCAGGAGTCCAGCAACAACCCCCTGCTGTTTTCCATTTCTGGGAAGGGAAAGCTTCACTAACAGCAAAAATAAATGGCTTTTCCTACCAAATTTTGCCCCAAAATTTGTTTTCCCAAATGCACAACCGCACAGACAGGAATCACGATGGTTTTGGGTAAAATACACAGTGTAAAAAAAGGGAACAAGTACCGTCTGAGGCCCGTTGTTCTCTGTGGAATTTGAAACCATCTTTATCAGCGAGTTCCAAGATGGGTCAGCAGCATGAGGCCCGTTAAAGATGGGGCCTCCAGTACCATCTGTGATGGGGGCTACGGGAGGAATCATGGCGTTCCCATACACAGAAAAAGGCATTCCCTGAGGGCAAGGAAAAGCAACAGTCAGGATGTTTTTGTGGACGCTGCTATCCCTGCACAGACAGAAGGGTTAAGAGGGCTTTGTGCTGCCTATCAGGCCCAAGGTCATTACCCCGACTTTTGGGAAGTCCATGTATCCTGCAGGAACGGGCTGATGGAATGTACCGGAAGGCGTGACGATTCCCGTGCTGTCCCTCTCCATGGCTTGGTGGGAGAACACGCCCGGGTCGGACATGGGCCGGTGGATCATGTGGCTTCCCATCCCGCTGTGACACCAGTCCACTTTATCTGACAGCACAGAGACACAGCATTACCCACACGACACCCCCCCCTCCTGCATCCCCCAGCCTCAGCTGTGCCCCCTGCTCAGCCTGCAGCTCCTGCACCCACGAAAACTCTGGCACGTGTGGGATGGCGAGCACCACACCGTGCCCCTGCAGCCCCCCAGCCAGAGCCCTGAGGCGGTGCCAGGAGCTGGGAACAGTTACCTGTGACCAGGGCGCTGCCCCTGCCATTCTCCTCCACCTCAACAGCAAAGCTGGCATCTGGGCTAACTCTCCCTCCTCCAAAAACCTCAATTCTTTGCGCCTTTGGTGCTGTGAAAAGGGTATGTATGCTACGAAGACTGTTTGCTCCACTTCATTACCATTCTTCCATTTATTATTTAATATTCTAAGAGACAGAGAAGTACTTTTGCAAAGCAAAACCAGAGAATGACCAGCTCCAGACACGTGCTCGTGTACTAATTACATGAATTCACCAGGGGGAGCTTGGTATTGGTGCTACAGTTCAAACCTCAGACATTCATAAAGCCAATTTTCAAAACAAAACATAAGGAAATTGTATTTGGAGAACGGATACAAAAACATTTCTGAGACACCTCATTAGTCAAGAAAAGCCAATCCTGTTGTGAACTGAAAATCAAAATATTCAAGTAATTGAAAAAAGTAGAAAGCAAGAAGCATTCTGAAGGCCAAGACAGGCACAAAGGACAACTTTTACAGCCAGACAATATAAACAAATATTACATTTCTAAAGCCTTACCTGGGAGAAGACCACTAGTGAAGTAAAATGAGGTTTGTATTTGGGGATAAACCCCAGGGCAGTCAGTCAGTTAAAACCTTAAGCTGCCTGGACTCAGTCAAGCAGCAGAACAGGTTACTTAGAGGGGCTGAGCAGTTTCCATTCCCGTTCCTGCAGGTTTTCCCAGGCAGACTGGATAAAGCCCTGAGCAACCTTGTCCAGCCTCATGGCAAACCCCATTTTGTGTGGGAGGCCAAGAGGACCTCCAGAGGTCCAATCCAACATGGTCTTATGATTCACACCTCCCATCCCAAGAAAAAACCCCCACAGAAACTAACAATCAAACCCAAACCCCCCCCATCAATATGACAAAAATTCATCAGTCTCCTCTAAGTTGCGTCCGAGATTCCAGGCGAGTTTGCTGAAGTTATTAATAAATTATGAAATACTGAATTCTATGTGACTCCAGGAGAGCCAAGAGCTTGTGTTGGTAAAATGCAAATGGCTGGAAAAAACAAAAAAAACCCAAACGTAGAACATTACCACTTAAGAGAAGCACCATCCTCAGCACAAAAAGCTCTATCTTGGCTACAAATTAAATATTATCTCCTACTGTACAAACCATCTCTTTCATCAACAGAAAACCCCCAGACAGTTATCTTGAGAAACCTTAATTTCCCCTCTTCCTAAATCAAATGATCCTCACCCAGTTCACCCCTGTAAACCCTGTGGTTTTATTTTTCCTGTTACTTCTTACTTGGAGTACCAGATCTTCACAGCCAGGGCGTTTCAGAACTGTTTTCTGAGACCTCAGTAAAACACAAATAACTGGACAGCAGGGCAAACAGAAGTCCCCGCTCCAAATCCCTCGGGAAGAGCACTCCTGTATTTTGAGGCACTCACTTCTGCATCATCCTCCAGCACTGGAGTGAGTTTGGGAA